CTGAATTCTTACATGCCTGAGACTGTACGCCTAGAGCCTTTATTCTTATCTCAGTTAAATTCTTAGATCACAAGTCTTTTCCCTCAGAACAGGGCAAACATTGTTTTACTGTTGCGTAGCATTGAGTACGGTGCCAATTTTTTTTTTTTTTTAACTAGAGTTTACCCATTTATCCCCTGGCTAACTTGACTTCATTCTTAAGGCTTTAAAAAAATTCTGGTGAAAAATTATACTTTTCTCCTTGTTTTGTCACTACTAGTGAAGGTTGTATGTTTATTTGCTAGTTGGTTATTTTTTGCCTTGAAGAAGCAGATTTTATTATTTGCATCTCATTGCATACTAATCTCAGAACCAGTTCTTTCTGCCAGATTTACCTGAAACTTTAGGAATTAGTGTAAGTAGCTCCCTTTGATAAGCAGGTTTTAGGGCCCCCATTGGTCTCAAATGTTGAAGACACACAAAGCCAGAGTGTCCCCGCCGCTTGGTCTGTCTTCCAGAGCAGATACACTCCTGTTGCAGTCATCTGAGAAGCAGACCTTCATATGTTTGAAGAGAGCTCTGCTATTCTGTCTTCTCATTTCCAAGATAAGTATTCCCAGATCATTTCCACACCCTCCGCAGTCTTGATTGGACTTCTCTTTATCAGCAGCCATCATAAATTGTGATTCCCGGAAAGAACACTACAGATATAACAACAAACGCCGCGGGTCCCATCAGGCCTGCGTCTGCCTTTGCTTTGGACCCTCTAAGTCTATGAATATGGCTCAAGGTCATGTTAGCCTTTTCTTAACTCATGATGAATTTGTCTTTAATTAAAACCTCTGAGACTTTCTACATGTGCTGCTGTTAACCCATGTCTCTCTCCTTTTCTGTTTGTGTGGCTGCTTTTTTGCTCTTGTTTTTGTTTCAGACCTTCAGTTACTCATTCTGTTTACCTTCATTATTTTACATCAGGCCTATCATTTTGAACTGTTGATCTTTTGGGTAGTAATTTGATGATCTGATGCATTAGCTATGCTGAAAGTACATGTCTTAAGAGTGTCACCAATGTCCGAATCTGGCTATAGTAAGGTTTTTGGAATCCATTAGGCATGGGTTTAAGTCTTTGCTTTCCTACTTGCTAGTTATATGATATTGAACAAACTAATTCTCCCTGTGAGCCTCAGTTTCCTCATCTATGAAATAGCGGTATAATTTTTAAATGAAGCGCTTAGCATCTAATAAAAGGTAATATTGTTAGAATCATTGATTGAAGTGCCAAAAAGGAGCTGACGAGAGGAGAGCTCCTTGGCAGGCCATCAGAAATACTGCCACGGTTTGCATTGTCTTTAACCAAGGGCCTTTGAGAATGGTCTTCCTACTGTTACACCCACCTAATGACACCACCATAGAAACTCGATTTTGTGTGTAAGGTTAAAATGAGAGATGCTGCCTAATACATTGCTCAAATCTATATGACCGATACTGGGGCATTCTACCCACGGCCTATGGACAAGGAGCTGAGGTTGGTTTGGCCTTGCTCTCTCCTGGGGAAGCCTTGCTTCCTGGCCTCCAGGGTTCACTGTTTCCCTTCATAGGGAGCTAATGAATGACCCACGTGGCTAATGAATGACTTATTCACTTCACTGATCTAGGGAGGTAGTTTCCTGATCTACTGATCTAGGGCTCAAGAGAGTGCCTTGGGTACACCCCCTTCCCAGGGAAAAAAGGGGGTGGCGAACTGGGGGTGTCCCTAGGCTTCCTGTTCCTATGACACCCAGAACATCTCTGCTTTGGCCGTTTTCTACATCTTTGTTCCAGAGATTTAAATTGCGTCTATTTAAAAAAGGGCATCAGGAGGGATCTGGGAGCCAACACTTGAAAACAACTGAGCTGAGCTATTTTGAGATCTCACCTTTTTCATCTGTGCTCGTCTTGAGTTTAAAAACAATGTTCCAGTTCTTTATGGTCTGTCAAAGATCAGTCACTAAGAATGGGCAGCAACTTTATCTCCAAGTTCTTTCTGACCTCTGGGACATAACTCACTCGGCCTGAGAGACCCCCGTCCACCTGACATGCACAGAGCTCTTGACCCTGCCGTTGCTCCAGGCTCCACTCACCGCCTCCTGCAGCGTCCCTTCAGGGCGACAGCTTCCTCCCTGCCAGGGAGGCAGAAGGCCCGGACCCAAGAGCTCTGTTTCCTCTGTCATCTGTTATCGTGACACATCTTGCCCCTGAGCAGAGAGACTGTATCTTCCCTGTTCTTTTTCCTCCTCGAACTGAAAAAGCTCTTTTCATTGTCTCAGCTTGTTACACAGGACCCAGCTGTTTGGGGTTTTAGAGTCCCTGTGGCTTTTACAAGTTGAGTTGAGGAGAGAGTTGTTTCTCTCTCTCCCCATGCACTCTTTCTCTCATTTCCATTCTTGCTCTTTTCTCCTGTCATTAAACCAAGCATATGTGCTGGTCTTTCCAACCTTCTTTGGGTTTTTAAGACTTTCTTTTCTTCCTTGTGTGTGTGCTTTTGTTTTTTGTTCTTATTCTAAGTTTCTCATGGTGGCCCCTGTATCATCATACCTAATTTTTAGCTAGCCTCCCATTTTTCCTCACCACTCTCCTTCATTCATTTAGAAAAATATTCATTGAGGTTGAACTGTGTGCCTGACACTGGCTGAGTCCCGGGGACACAACACAGAGTCCCATTCTCAAGAAGCTGAGTGATACAGACAAATAGGCGGTTACTGAGCAGTGTGATTGAGCAAAAGGGAAAAAGGATTCATGGACATGGACAACAGTGTGGTGATTGCTGGAGGAAAGAGGATACAGGGGACTAAATGGTAATAGAAAAACAACACGATCAAGATTAAATTTTAAAAAGACTGGAAAGAGAAAGAGAAGTAGAATATATTAAGTGCCGATTGCATGCTCAGGGCTAAGCTAGGCCTTCAACAGTGATGCGTATCTCATTTATTCTCCACAATTACCCAAGAAGGAGATATTATAACCTTCATTTTGCAAGTGAAAAAGATGCAAGTTTAGAAAACCCCAAGGTCCCACAGCTATAAATGAAAATGTTAGGATACATATCCAAGTTTGTCTTTCCAGTATCTTTGCAATATGTTACAAAATTTAGCCTCTTCTGAAATGGTGCCTTTGACCTTCTGGGTCTCCCCTTTACTCAGTCTCCATCTCTCACCTCCTGGGAACTTAGTCTGGCTCAGAACTCGCTTCTTCGAACAGACTTCACTCACTGCCCCAGAATACTCTTTAATTTCGTGCAACCCCTCTTTTGGGCTTCTCATTATGTCGCAATAGTTGGTATGCGCTGTATAGCTGTTTCGGCAATATTTCCTATTTACGTACCTGACTTTCCTAACTGAGCTACTGGTTCCTGGAGGGCTGACTTGATCTCGTGTGGGTGATGGGTGCAAGGCGTCCGAAGGTGTGGATTGCCACCTCCTGCAGACTCGGTCTCCCTCCCTTCCCTCCTCTCCGCCTTCACTGGACTACTGTTCTTCGTCCTTTTTCTCTCACTTATTTATTTGTCTTTTAAGCCTTCGGAATGTTTAACATGTAGGTCTCCATTCCAAGTGCAAGTGCAAGGCAAGATGGCTTCAGCAGTTGTCTTCAGAGGCTCTGTCCACAGTGAGGTCAGTGGGGGTTTTGGCCCGCCAGTGGCAGGGAGGAATGATGGAGGCCAGCATGCTCGTTTCCCTCCTTCCGTAGAGCCCTGGGCCTCCTGGAGTGAACCCAGTGTCAGTCAGCCCCTGTGGCTCCGGTTCCTGGTGCCTCCGAGGCCACCACCAGTGTCCTGACGAACTCGGAGCTCTACTCTCTGCTCTGTGACCAGCCCCTACCGTTAAATAACAGCCACAACTGTTGCTTAATTCATGAGACTCACGGGGTTAGCCTATAGATCCCATGAGCTTTAGTCCCCTCCCCACTTTTTTTTTCATTCACAAACAGTTTCCAGACCTTGTCCAATGAGTGAGGCCACTACTTTCATTGCCATCCCTGCAGGCAAATGTCTCTGAGGGTTAGAGAACAGGTATGAGCATCAGATGACATAACATGTGGGAGTTTGCTATTTTTTCCTTCTCTTATTTCTGCAGAGTGCGCATATTCTCACTGCAGTCTGTGACTCACTGATCTCGCACACATGTTCCTAGCCCCTGACATCACTGTGTGGCAACACGGCCATCGTCCCCGAGCTAGGACGAAACAACTAATCAATGCAGGGCGAAGGGTTAGCGCTCACAGCACCGCCAAGCTTCTTGTCAGCCCCCGGACTGCCAGAGGAGGCCCTTTCCCACCCTCACAGGTTCGCCCCATACCGACAATCCTGGGAGCAGGTGTGTTGGCAACTGTTGCCTATCATTCTGCAAACAGGGAAAGTAAAGATTCTGGATGAGAAGCGTGTGGGCACGATCATTTCCTCATTTCACAAGCGAGAGAGCTGAGGCCAACAGAGACTAATGACTTGCCCCAGATCTGCAATCTGGCGCAGGACAGAGCTGGCGTTAGAAAGAAGGCAAGCAGTCCAGCTCTAGAGTCTGTGCACTGGACCATCACCTTCTGCAAGGTCTGCGCTTCGCTTCACAAATAGGGAAGCAAAGCCCCAAGGAAGTTAAGGAACTTCTCCGCCCACAGCTGGAAGTTATGGCAGATCCATGGGCAGAATGGAGCGGAAACAGACCCAGCTGTCCTCTGTCGGCAGGAAATGGGTTCAGTTCTATCCTAACAGCTTTCTGGGGAACGGCAGGAATCAGATGCCTTTCTACTTATCTGTCTCTCTCCCCTCCTGTCTAAATGGATGTGAATCCTCTCTCCTCCCCAGGCCAGGCCCAACCTATCACTTGTCATTTCCAAGTGTCAGGAGTCCCAGAAAGCTGCCCTGACCCTCTGCTGCTAAACTTTACTTAAGACAAGGAGAAACAAAGGAAACTCTTTTTATTGGTTTGCACCGAGCAAATACGGGTATGTTATTCCATTTATTTTCAAAGTCTCTTTGTTTACCGATAGAAATTACCTGGGCATGTTCTTTAAACTGAAAGCAGTTTCTTCGGAAACAAAGAGGATGAAAGACACGGAGCGCTGACCTTTGGTATTCAAGTGTCCTGGCGTGTCCTCGGAGTGTGGCATGTCCTCGGAGTGTGGCATGTCCTCGGAGTATGGCATGTCCTCGGAGTGTGGCATGTCCTCGGAGTGTGGCGCAGCCCAGGCAGCCCACCCAGCCCTCTTGGACCCTCGCACTTTCTCTTCTCAAAAGCTGCTTCTAATTGTCCATTTTAAGTGCCGGCACTGTGGCCCAGGGGTCTATTTTCTGCACAAAGAGACGAATTAGTGAAAAAGTGGAGTGACCAGCACTACAAGAACATTACCAGAAAATACAATTAAATGTAACACCCGGGGGGCACTGTTACTAAAAATAAGAAGCAACGTGCAGAAGCCATTGTGAGCTGCTTTCCCAGACCTTTTGAGGAGTCGGCAGTTGAACGCATCATCGAGAAGGAAGTGCTGTTAAACCGGTGCTGCTATGGATGTCAGGGGCACAATGGTGCCCAAAATAGATGACGCTCCTGCTCTTGTGGAGACCAGCATCTGGAGGGGAGGAGACGGCCGTCAGCAAATGAACCAAGAAGTGCATAGTTTGTCACGTGGGCGTAGCACTGTGAAGAAACAGAAAACGGGGTAAGCAACAGAAACATATTCAGTCTTTGTCCTCAGTTCCTGGCACAAAACTCCTGAAACCTTTGGAATATTTTGAGTGGCAGGAGTATCTGTTGTGACTCAGGAGGAGCCCCACCAAGATAGCCTCGGGATGGGGCTGGTCGCCAGAAGGACAATTGATTAGAAAGTTAGAGCTTTCAGCCACGCCCTCTGACCTCTGGGAAGGGGAAGTGGAGGCTGCAGATTAAGCTTTATAAGAACTCTGGAACAATAAGATTTATGAGTTTCGGGGTTGGTGAGTGCATCCCTGTGCTGGAGGGCTGTGTCCTTCAGTTCCGTGGGGACAGAAGCTCCTGTGTTTGGGATCTTTCCAGACCTCGCCCTGTGTATCTCCTCATCTGACTGTTCATCCGAGTCCTTATAATATCCTTTTATAATAAACTGGTAAATGGAAGTAAATGTTTCTCTGAGTTCTAGCAAATTAATCAAAACGAGGGGGGAGTTGTTGGGGAGTTATCCTCAGTGTCTACTGAGGATTAAGTGAATCGCTTGCGGGTGTTGGAGTTTGATAGGTGGGCCATGAAGGCTTCCCTGACAAGGTAACATTTAAGCAGAGATCTGGAGAAAATGAGGGAATAAGGTGGTTTTCCTGCAGAACAAAGAGCACATGCAAATGTCCTGAGGCAGGAACATGGCTGCCATAGTCGAGGGAGAAGAAGGAAGCCCGTGTGGCTAGAGCAGAGGAAGAGGAAGGAAAGAGACAGAAAATGTCATGCCTTGTAGGGCGTTAGAGGCCAAACAGATTTTAAAGTTTATTGAGAAAGTAAGGAAGCCATTTAAAGTGTTGAGCAGAGGAGTGAGCAGAACTGGCTTCCTTTTGAGAAGGACCTGCTTTAGAAGGCCCCCGGGCAGTTGTGTGGGGAGTGCTGATTCCAGAGCCGAGCATTTTCCACCACGAACAGCGAGAAAACTGATGGCCTAGTGGGGAAGACAAGTAAAGAATAAATGGGAAGAGAAGAGCAGAATGATTAGGGAGTCTCTATTATCTGGTCTAGTCTGAGGATCCAAGGGAAGGCTTCCTGGAGGAAGTGACTTTCAGCTGAGATTTAAGGGGTGAGCAGAAGTAGAGGAGATAAAACAAAGGGGGGAAGAGCTTTCCTGGGATGGGGAGTGCACATGGAAAGACCCCGGCATGAGACAGCACAGGCTTTTGGGGGGAACTGAAACAGGGCCAAAGAGGCTGAAGCACAGTAAGCCGGGGGCCAGGCCGGTGGGTTCATGCTAAAGCAGGGAGGGCCTGTTTCTGCACGGCTGTGCCCAGAACGATGAGGACTGGTCATGGTCTTCAAGTTACAGGGAGCCAGTGAAGGGTTTTCCTTAGAGGAGTTACAGGATCAGATTGGTATTTTCAGCTATGCCTTTTGCCCTTGGGCACCTGGACAGATAAAGATGCCATTCCTGAGATTGGGAACCAGAAGCAGCCATGTGTGTGTTTTGGAATTCGAGGGCCTTGGCCAATGCTGCTTTCTCCTCTTGAGCAGAGCCAGTGCTGCCCTGCACAGAGAACGTGCCGGAGTCAGCTCGCAGCGCCAGCCAGTCATTCAGCTGGGAGCTGAAATCGGTTATGCGGGGAGAATTCATGTAGCAGGGCCAACACGACAAATCACAGTGTTCTTCCAGCAAGCACTCCACTGTCGGCAAGGAAATCTGGCTCCGGTTTCGGGCTCTTTGTTGATTAGTTGTTGGTGCTTCAGTTGCCAATTTTGTTTGTTACAGAATATTGACCTTCTCCAATTTTGTTATGGGGTATCGACCTTCCTACTTGGATTTAATGCACAGGTACCACCTTACGTATGGATAGAGGATCTTCTCCAGGCTCTTACCAGAGGTGAGAATGGAGGCAGCTGTGGGACATGGGGAAGAACTCTGGATAACCTGGAGGCACTCCCAGGAATCCAGTCTCGGCTGCTTTTCTGATTTATGGCTTTCTGGACTTACTGCTTGGACACCTTACCTCCCCTTGACCTTTTATCTGATGCCAAGATTCCATAGTTAGCCAGATATTTGAGAAGGAGGCAGATACTGGAAAGCACAATAGGCAGGAGGCCAGGTGATCCATCCACCCGCCCATCCAACAAATAATTGCTAAGCATCAAGTCTGTGGCATATGCTTCCTAGTGCTGGAAATATAAAATCGAAGACGTCTTCTGGGGTTATTAACATCGATGGGGAGAGAGATCCATAAAGAACCCTAGTGCCAATTTTCATCAGGAGGCAGGTCAGGCTTTTGGAGTTTCTTATCCCAAGATTTTTAGGACATGAAGAGAAGCGAAAGAATGGTATTTTGTAAGGGAGTCAACACAGAAGGAAAGCAAAACAGATGTTCTGAGAGTAAGGAGTAGGGATTAGAAGAGGTAGACGAACTTAAGAAGGAGATGGGAGGAGACAGAAAGAAATGGAAATGGTTACGATTGGAAAGAAGGATGGTCCCTTTCCAATCCTCGGAGACAGGAATGATGGAGGCGAGGTGAATTCTGACAGGGCGGAGGCTGCGCCGCAGCCTCTGTTCTTCTTGGAAAATGAAGGGGAAGTGAAAATAGAACTGCAGTGGCTTAACCAAGAAAGAGTTTCTGTTTCCGGCATAACACGAAGCAACAAGAGGTGGCCAGTCCCTGGCTGACACAGAGGCCTCACAATGTTGTGCCCGATGCCCGGACTCCTTCTACATTCCTACCTGCTAGCCTTAGTGTGTGACTTCTGTCATCATATAGATAATATGGCTGCTGACCCTCCAGACACTCTGCCTGCATTACAGGAGGGAACGTGGGGAAAGGTAAAGAAATGGCGTGCCAGACCTGGCCGGGTGGCTCCTTTGGTTGGAGCGTCATCTCATACACCAAAAGTCTGAGCCCTGGTTGGGGTACGTTTCTCTCTCACATTCCTATTCTCTCCCCCAAGCCCCCCACCCCCTGCCTCTCTCTACAATCAGTGGATGTGTCCTCTGGTGAGGATCTGAAAAAAAGAAAGAAAGAAATTACATGCCAACTATATCCCTCTTTTTTTTTTTTTAAATCAGAAAAACAATAGCTTTCCTGAAAGGACCCCGTCCAGGAGATTTCCATGAACATCTCACTGGCCAGAACTAGGTTTGGCTGCAAGGAAGTCTGGGTAGTTAGTGTTTTTAGCTCCCAGGAAGGAAAAAAGGGAGAATGGCTCTTGGGTCAATGACTAGCTCTGCCTGTGGCACTGAGATTGGAATGAATTCTCAGGACACAGCTGGACTTCGAGAACACAAGCCGGGGTCTCACCATCAGCTAGCTGGGCAGTACGGGTGGTTGTGTCACTTAGAGGGCCCAAGATTTCCTCATCTATAAGAGAAGACAGTTTAGGCATATTATTTCTAAGACTTAAAGAAAAAAATAAACCACCCACAATTCTAAGGACTTATACCATTTCTAGAACTGACTTTCTTGGAAGTATGAAAAACCTTCTTCAGTAAAGCGAGCCTCTTCAGAATGACCCTGTGCAGAACATAGGAAAAATACTCTCCACAGATACGATATGTTTGCTAAGGCTAATTAGCATACCAAATTCAAGTGTTTCAGAGTTACGTAAATGTACATCTATGAATAATTCTCTAATATAGATGCCAAGAAGTGCAAGTGCAGGGCTGAAGCCCATGGAATGTAAACAATTTAACAGAAAAGATTGAATTACTCTCCAAAAAAATCTGTGCTGATTTATATTCCTACTGGGAATGTGCCGGAGCATCAATTTCTCTAGCAGAAAATATATGTAAACATGAAGAAAGAGGTAGTATTATCAGTGCTTTTATTCTTTGTCAGACACTGTGCTATGTCCTTTACAATCATTATTTTACATAACTCTTCTGGCTACCCTATGGGGCAGATGGCACTATTATGCCCATCTTACAGATGAAGAAACGCAGGCTCAGAAAAGCTGAATAGCTTTGCCCAAAGCCATGCGCTTAATCACTGGCAAAATTAAGACTGGACCATAGTTTGTCTTAATCCGTTCTCTTACACCTTCAGCTATACTACCTCACAATTTTCCCCTACTGGGTCTGTAGTCTGCATGGAGAAACGTAGAAAGATGTCTCTATCTTGCCTCAAGATTCTACCCAGATACCCTAACATTGCCAAGGCTGGAACTTGGTAGAGAGCAGTGTTGCTTAGAATAAGTCTGAGACACCACAAAGCCACGAATGGCAATAGTCACTGACAAAACCTTCCAGAAGGATAAAAGGCCTCCCTTTGATGTTTTTCAGCAGTGTGAATAGCATAGGAATAAAGGAAGTTTATTTTCCCCTTTTCTTTCCTTCATTCAGTAGAAACTAACTGTATTCTGGTTGCGCTTTTAAAGAGCATTTCGAGCCTTTGGTGTTCTTTGTTGTAGACCCAAGGTGAGGTTCCCATAGACCCCGTCTACACGGATTTGATCCTCCCTGGATGTGCTCTCACTCACACACCCAGGTCCTGAACTTCGTTTTGTTGTAACACAGAACCACCGCAGGAGGAAAAAGAAACCGCTGAATAGACTGACCCGCGGTCCAACTATGGATTTTCTTGTAACACGGTCAACACACTGCTGTAGCCATTAGTCCCCGACTAGTTCTTAGAATCCTGCCAAGACAGAAATGGCAGCACAAGTAAATCTTCAGTTTCACCTGGGACTTTTGTAAGTGCATAATAAAAAGGCGTAGTGGCAGGATTGCCTGGCTATTACAAGCCGTGGGGCACCTTAATGAGAGGCAATGACAGAGCCTTTGAGAGGTGGACACTCCCAGGATGGAGAGGTGGGGTGGGGGGTGGGGGATGTCACTGTTACCAACCAGCAAGAAAGACGCTTAGATCAGTTCGAATAAAACTAAGTGAAAAGCCCTCTATTTCACAGCCCAGAGAAATGGCATTGGCTGATATCATCATACTTTTTAAAAAGTTTGTTCATCAGGGGGATTACATCGATCTGCTTCTTTTAA